GTGGGCAACAATGAACTTGTTCATAATAAAGCTTTGTAAGCAGTACGTCTCCTCCCAGGCAAAGCCCACTCTGAAAAGCCCTTGAGTTTATTACTTTGCATGCACACAGGGTATTGGGAAACATACAGAGACACATCCAGATGGACAGACATGGACACACAGAAGACCTATGATATATATATATACTCCCTTCTCTCCACATGGACACAGAAGCACGGGCATAGAAACACAAATGATGTTACAGCTAGGAGCTAGGGAGAACCTCAGAAGCCATTTGAGAGATTTAGGGGCTAGTATTGCGGCATAGCAGGTATAGCCACACCTGTGATGCCATAATCTCATAGGGGCACAGGTTCATGCCCCGGCTGCTCCACTTCTTATCTAGCTCCCTGCTAATTGCCTGGGAAAACCAATAGAAGATGGCTAAAGTGTCTGGGCTTCTGCCACCCACATGGGACACCCACATAAAGCTCCAGACTCCTGCTGTAGCCTGGCCCAGCCCTGGCTGTTGTGGTCATCTGGGGAATGAACCAGCTGATGGAAGATCTCTCTGTCTCCTCTCCATCATAACTCTTTCAAATAAATAAATACAAATAAAATTTAGCTACCCTTATTTTACAGAAGAGAAACTGCAGCCCAGAGAAGTGAAGGGCCCAGCCTACCATCCGTGGCTGGTTTTTATAATTTCTGTCCCGCCATGTGCTTTGAGTGTTATCTGTTCTTTTTCTAGCTTCTTACAGTGGAACCCTAGATCATTGATCTAAAATCTTCTTTTCTACCACAGGCATTTAAAGCTGTAAAAACTTCATTCTAAAGACTGCTTTAGCTGCATCACATCAATGTTGATATAAAAGTTATGTTCTCATTATTACTAAGTTTAAAATGTTATCTAATTTCCCTGTGATTTCATTTACCCATGGGTAACTTAGAAGTGTATTATTAAAATGAAGTGTGGTATTCCCAAATATTTGGGGCTTTGCTACATATCTTATTGTGATTGATGTCTAACTTGGTTCTTTTTTGGTCTCAGAACACAATCTGCAAGACTACAGTTTTGGAAATGTTATTGAGATTTATTTTATGGTCCAGAATATAGTCTATTTTGACACATGATTCACAGGCACTTGGAAAGAATGTGTATTTTGGGGTTTTCCAGTTTAGTTTTCTACCACTAGCAATCAAGCAAAGATGGTTAACAATATTGTTCAAGTCTTCCACATCCTTACTGATTTCTTTCTCCCCCTTCCCTCTCCTCCTTCTCCTCCTCTTTTTTGGTTTATTCACTCTATTCATCATCGGGAGAGGGGTGTTAAAATCTCCAACTACGGGGCCGCTGCCTGAGATGCCAGCATCCTGTACGGTTGCCCTTTCATGTCCTGGCTGCTGCACCTCTGATGCAGCTCCCTGCTAATGCACCCGAGAAAGCAGCAGAAGATGGTGTAAGTGCCTGGGTCCCTGCCACTACGTGGGAGACCCAGATGGAGCTCCAGGCCCTGGTCGTCGTGGTCATTTAGGGAGTGAACTAGTAGATGGAAGATCTCCCTGTTTCTCCTTCTCTCTATGTAATTCTGTCTTTCAAATAAATAAATCTTAAAAAAAAAAGAAAAACCTCCAACTACCCAGCCATAAAAGACCACGTACTCTATGATGCCATTTATTTGTAATTTTCAGGATATGCTAATGTATAGACATTCATCAGCAGATCCTGTCAAGGCTTGGTTCTCAGTTTTTCGTTGTGTCACTCCTTTAACCTACCCTGGTCCACTAGAGTTCATATTGGACCAATCCTTTACACTCCCACTTCCTACTTCACACCTGACACATCCAAGTCACAAATCTACTCATTTACACCAGCACAATTCCATTTACCTGCCTGCCCATCTCTGTGCTATTGTCATAACCTGCATGCATGTTATAAAGTCCAACTTACAAGGTCATTAGTTTGCTTTAGGTAGTCTTCTTTTAAGGAAATTATGACAACAGGAAATGTATTTCACCTTTACCTACTTCTAAGCTTTGTTAGAGGAGGTCTCTCCACTCTCAGTCCTCACTCCTAAAGCAAGGCATTGCTGCTGTTTCCGATGGGTGCCTCAGGTGGCAGACCAGAACCGCTCAACTTCTAGACTCTTCTGATCCCAGTCACACAGCAGCTGCTCTCTCGCTACGTCCTGCATAGTTTCAACTACATTTACCTGCACGGTCCTCAGGCAAGGCCTTGCAGAGGGTCCCTTTCAGTGTGGCTTACTCTACTGGGATCCGCTGCTCCACAGACCCCAGCTGCTTCAACTGTCCTGAACTCTGAGCTCGGCCACCTCAGCTTAGCAGGACCACTGTGCTCTGCTTGGGGTCTGGCTCCCTGCACTGCAGTCGGAGCCAAGAGCTGGGGTAATGGTGGGGCTTACTGCCTGGCTCTCCCTTCTGTGGAGGACAGTGTTTCCCAAATGCCCACAATGGTATCTCCTATTCCTGTGCTCTTCTTACAAGGTGACTTCAACATTCCTCCCACTAACTGTCCACGTTTCCTCCCTGGAACCTGGGTAGGACTTGTGACTACCCTAGCCAATGGAGTAGAGCCAACGTGATGCTATGTGACTTCCAAGCCTCAGTGAAATAAAAGATACAACTTTCTCTCTCTTTGAACACGCATCTTCAGGACCCGGCTGCCATGCTAGGAAGCCTGTACAAGTCCCCCAGAGAGACCACAGGGCTGGGACTAGGAGGAGACCTGGGGCCCCCAGCTGACAGCCAGCATCAGTTGACAGACATGTGAGTCAACAGCCTTCAGAGGGTGCCAGTAGCAGACTCTTCAGAGCACAGACAGGCTGCCCTGCTGTGCCTTATGTGTGATTATGACCCATAGTATCTGTGAACTTAGTAAATGGTCATTTTACAACACTCAGTTTTTGGGTAATTTGTGATGTAGCCATAGTAACTGCAACACCATCTGCTAGGAATTGCAGCTTTGTGCTGTCTGCTGTCCAATGCTGAAAATAGTTGCCTTACATATTTTGTCCTGTGTTATTGTTTTGGGAGAGCTAGTCTCCAAGCCCAAACTTTAATCTGAAGTTCTGTTCTATAAAATAACAGTAAAGATAATAGTAACACCAACAGGGGGTGGGCTTTGGGCAGGCAGTTAAGATGTTTTTCGGGATGCCTGTACCTATATTAGGATGTGTGGGTTCAAGTCCCAGCTCCATCTCTGACTCCACGTTCCTGCTAAATCTCGTCCTGGGAGGCAGCAGGTGACCCAATGGATGGGAGCCCTCTCTGTCTGGCTTTTTATCTGTCCCTGTATCTCTGTCTCTCAAATAAAATGAGTAAGTCAAAATTTTAGAAAGACAATAACTGCAATAAGAAGACTGAAATTCATTTCCTTTTATGGACTGCTTTCTATGTATCAGATACTGTGCTGTGTGCACTTTATGTATATTATTTCAATGAAACCCCACAACATTGTGGAATAGACATTATTAACTCCCACTGCACAGAGAAAAAAAGTGAGGCTCCTGGAGGGTGAATGATTTACCCGGGACTGCAGGCAGGTGTGGCCACACCTCTGATTGCATGTATGTGTGTATGGGCACATATGTATGCTTACACACAGGCATACACAGACCACACTCATTGTGCATTTCGAGTTTTTATGCTTTAAAAATGTTTCTTGCTCTGAGAGTTAAAAATCCCCTTCCCTCAATTTATGTTAAATAGACTGAGAGCCTCGGTCTGTTAGATATTAAGTTTCCCAAGCACACCCCACGGTGAAATTCTCTCCATCTGGGGCCAGTGCAGGCATGGGCAGCTGAGATACTGTCTCTGTTCCCTTGCCAAGGACTGCCCTGGACCTGAACTTGGGAGGAGGCGGGGTGCGACTCTTAGCAAGCCTTGGCGTGGTAGACCCGGCCTTCCCCTGGGGCCGGGAGGCCTCTGGGCTAGATTTTGTAAGAGACTAAATTCAGAGAAACAAAAGTGACTCCCTGAATACGCACAAACGGACAGCACAGAGCACTTGGAAGGGGCGCTGGAGACAGGATCCCCTGGTTGAAGCAGGGTCACCGCCAAGCACTCCCCAGAGGCGGCGAGAGCCGGCGTCAGGAAGGACCCGCAATTCAGAGAGCGGAGGGCGTGCGCCATGCTGAAGGCTTCCCCAAGTCAGCGCGCCCCGCTAGAGGCTGGGAGGAGGGGAGCTCCCGGGAAGCCTTCCCTGGCACTCCTTCACGGGCAGGGCTGATGCGCTCAGAGGGACAGAAGCCTCCGGGTAGCGCGCTGCGCTCGCTCGCAGATGGAGAACTCATGCATAGTAGCCCCTCTCGGAACAGAAAAGACACGGTTCTACTCAGAGGAGAGCGCAGAGATGGCTACTGCTTTGAGGGAAGGCAGAAATGACGGTGTTGTGTTATTGCTATCACCTTTCTCTAGAAAACCGTCGCCCCACGTCGGTCCGCAGCCCTCCCGCACGCAAAGTTCCCCAGGTGCAGTGCAGTCCCAAGTTGGAGAACCAAACGCGAGCTCTTTAAGGTTCACCTCCACCTCGCCGCCCCCTCTTCTCCAGCTCAGCCCCGAGGGGCCCCCGGCCAGCGTAGGACTCGATCCACTTTACAGACTGGCCCTGGGCAGTTTACACAGCTTGCTCCGCTGCCCGCCGCCAGCAGTGGCCGCCCAGGCACCGCACGGCCGGGGGCATCCCGTAGCACGAAGGGCGAGTCGCTCCAGCCTAGGCTGCGAGGCGCGGCGGCCCCGTGCCACCCTGGGTGAGGCTTCTTCTCCGCTCTGCCAGTCCCTCCCGTCTGGCTGCTTCCCCGCCCTCGCCCCCGGCCCTCACTTTGGAACCGCGCGCCGGTGTGGTCCCGTCCCAGGCTCGGGTCCGCGCTGCCCCGGCCCCGTGTGTGAAGCCAGAGGAACGTGAAATGTCCCCTCAGACGACCCGGCCGCGTGACACGACCGCGAAGTGCCAGTGCGGCTCCAGCGCGCGGACCCCGGCCCGCCGGCCCCAGCCCCCGTACCTCCGCCTCCTGGCGCAGCTCCCGGCCTACGCGCCCCACGGGCTCCGCGTCCAGGCCGCCCCACAGCAGCAGCGGCAGGGCGTGCAGCAGGAGGCCCACGCGCGACCGCATCCCGCCGCCGCCCCTGCAGCGGAGCGCGGGATCCCCGGGATGCGCCAGGTCGGCACCGCCCCCGCGCGGAGAGGGGCAGTCCTGGGGCTCGCGGGTGGCTCCTGCGCAGCCCTTCGCCGGCAGCCGGCGCGAGGTCGTCCAGCCTGGGCAGTGGCTGCCCGCCGGCCCGGCGGCCAGAGGACCTAGGGAGGGAGGCGGGGAGGGGCGGAGGAGGGGCCGCGAGCCCGGCACTCGCGCCCCACCCACCCCGCGCCGCCGCCGGGACGCGCGGCCGCCCTGGGGCCGCTTCCGCCCGCTGCGCAGCCGCGCCCGGTTCTCTGGGCTCCTGTTGATCCGGATCTCTCCAGGGAGGGTCCGGGAAGAAAGGTCTTCTGGCATTCGGCTGTTGCCCGAGACTTCGACGAGGAGGGGTCCTGGGTCACCCGAGGGCCTTTGATTTTGTCTGTCAGGCGGGGAGCCAGGCCCCGGGTGTGAAAGGAGCCGCGGACTGGGGTCAGAAGACCCGTGTTTGCGTTCATCTGCCGGCGGTTTAGTTCTTCAGTCACTCACTCCCTCTGAACCACTTTTTTTTTTTTTTTTTTTTTATCAAGTAGGGATAAGGATCATATCAGTGTCCTGTGAAGGTCGGGAGATTTCTAGCTCGGTGAGTGACGGTCCATTGTCCAGGCGCAGCCGTGCGACACGCAGGTGTCGGTTTCCTCATCCGCAACAACGGAGTATACTTGGGTCCTAGGGTTGCGCGAGGGTGAAAAGAGAAAATGAGTGTCCAGTGTCTTCCCTGTCCCATCAAGTCGTTATGAGGATCGAGAGAAGCAATGCGTGTGAAAGCCTCAGCCAAACACACGGTGAGCCAAGGCAACCGGTTTTCTCTGCTTTCACAGCCCACAGCGGTTGCCACCAGGATACAGAGCTGCTGGGACCCTGGTGGGATTGGGATGAGTTCATGTGCACTCTACAAAGTGCTAAACAAAGAAACAAAAACCCACAGTGTTCTAACCCTGAGGCTACAGGCCCTCTGGAGCACGTGGTATTTTGTGCTATTTAGAAAAAGACAGCCCCTTGGGTGGGGAAATTGAAAAAAAAAAGTCTTTGAATAGAGGTTTTAGAAACAGGCAGTCTTTGGGTGAGACTAATTGGAGATAGGCCCCGCTCTTCTTGCAAACAACCAGTGAAAAAGGGGCTACATCCTGGGGGCCCAGTTAGAAACGGACACTGCTCTGGGCAGACCAATGAAGACCAGGACAGCCTTCCACGCGCAGATGTCCCTGTGTCAGGGACTCACTGGAGGAACAGAGCGAAGCCAGGGTTGTTTTTTTTGACAGTCTTCCTCCCTTCCCCTGAGGGAATCCTTGTGCACAGCTGTGAGGAGTGGCCCTGCCTGGGTCCCTGCCCCAGAGACAGAGGGAGGCCTGGCCTGACTCTCAGAGAGCTTCCCGTCTAGGAAAGCCCTGCCTTGAGCCTAGGGCAGGGAGACTCAAGAGGAGTGGAACGGAGTGGCCAGATTTAGCAAACGAAAATACAGGACCATCTGTTAGACTTGAATATCAGATTAATGTATGCAATATTTGGGACATATTAATACTAAAAATTATATCATTGGTAACTTGAAATTCAAGTTTAGCTGGGCACCTCTAGTTTATCTGTCAACTGTAGTATATGTGTGTGTGTGTGTGTGTGTGTGTGTGAAAATTAGAGATACGGCAAGGAATACTGTGGCCTTAACCAGGCAGATAGCCTGCTTTAGGGGAGGGAACTGTGAAGAGTGTCAGTCATTAAGAACACTATGGGCCAAGCTGTATTCAAATCTGGGGTTGCCAATTCTCTCTCCATGCTGAATCTCTCCATCCCCACCTCCCAGCACATCCCACAAATTATTCACTTCGGCTCACTATGGAGAGGGCAGAAGAGGGGAAGCCACAGTTCTTTGGAGGGCTGAGTGCCTGGGAAAAGATGGGCTTGGCCACCAGAAAGCTGATCTTGCATCTCAGGGGAGCCCTGGTCTCTGGACCTCTCAAACTAGCACCACTGCTGTGTTTGAAGGTTGACTATCCCTGCCTTGCTCTGTGTCCTGGGTTGAATTGTTTGATTCTATCCTTGCCACTCTCTATTCCACCTCTGCTTGTAGTCATCTCTAGGTGCTATCCAGACTTAGAAGTCCTTGCTGGAATTCCTGCAAAACAGGAGAGCTTCCACCCCCACAGTGCTGTAGGCTTCCCCAAGGCCTTGGCATAGGATGTCTCCATTTCCTGGGGAGAGAGCATGTTCTGTGTTGGGTAGCAAAAGCCTCTGGTTCCCTTCCACCTCTGAAGATTACTCTTTCATCCCAGAGCACAAATCTGTGGTCTTCTTCAAAATCCAGGCAACTCCAAAGTACTACTACTGAACTGCAATGTGTTTTCACTTTGTGGGACACAGTGGACCACACTGTTTTGGATGTCTGGGGTGGAGGGTGGGGAAGATGACAGCTTGCTGCATGTGCCCTGGGAGGATCCAAGAGATCTGAGGAGGAAAGGAAGGGCAGTTTATTAGAAAAAGGCTCAGTCCGCAGTGAGTGTCTGGAGAGCGATGGGAGAATAGCCCTGGGATGCAAAAGCAGCCCTCTCCCAAGACAGTACTGTGGAGGCAAGTCCCCGTGTTGATCTAATATCATTATTTCTTCCTCTGGTGGACATGGGGGCAGGGATGAGAAGATGAGTTGGGACAAATAATAATGATTGATGCTTGTGATACGTACTTTATATAACATCTGTTATGCTTGTGATATGTACTTTATATAGTCAGAACATTGATCTTGGCCACTTCCTTATGATAAAGCTATTAAAAGCATTCTTATTTGATTTTCTAAGATTTCTTTATTTTTAAAGGGAGAGAGAAACAGAGTGAGAGAGAGAGATCGATCTTCCACCTACTGGTTTACTCTCCAAATGGCCACAACAGTCGAGGCAGTCCAAGTTGAAGCCAGGAGCCAAGTGGGTAGCAGGAACCCAAACCCTTGAGCCACCTTCTGCTTCTTTTTGGGGTGTGTGTGTGTGTGTGTGTGTGGTTTTTTTTTTTTTTTTTTTGACAGGCAGAGTGGACAGTGAGAGAGAGAGACAGAGAGAAAGGTCTTCCTTTTGCCGTTGGGTCACCCTCCAATGGCTGGTGCGGCCAGTGCACCACGCTGATCCAATGGCAGGAGCCAGGTACTTATCCTGGTCTCCCATGGGGTGCAGGGCCCAAGCACCTGGGCCATCCTCCACTGCACTCCCTGGCCACAGCAGAGAGCTGGCCTGGAAGAGGGGCAACCGGGACAGAATCTGGTGCCCCGACCGGGACTAGAACCCTGTGTGCTGGCGCCACAAGGCGGAGGATTAGCCTAGTGAGCCGTGGCGCCAGCCTACCTTCTGCTTCTTTCCCAGGTGCACTAGAAGGGAGCTGGATTGGAAGCAGAGATACTGTGACTCGGACCTGCACTACTCTATGGGATGCCTGTATTGCAGGTGACAGCTTAGCCTGCTGTGCCACATCACCAGCCCCAAGCATTCTTATTTTAAATATGAGGAAAGTGAGGCAAAGAAATTATATCACTTTCCAAGGTCATACAAATCTAGTTATGGAGCTAGGATTCAAGCCTGCATGGCGTCACTCTGGATCCTGTTCCCTTAAATACTACATATGTTGCCTCAAGTCAAATTTATAAAGTGTAGTTTTTGGGTCACCTGCACTGAATTGCCTGAGCCGCTTGTTAAGAATTCAGATTCCTGAGCCCCACTCCAGACCCACTGAACCACTAACTACTAAATATTGGTGCCCAAGAGGAGGGTGGCTCTAGATTTTCCAAATGTCTGGTGCTCTCCTTCCCTCCTGCCCATCTTCACAGGGCAGGGTTCTTCACATACCTCCTCTTCAAAACAGCTGCTTCCTCCTTCTTCCTCTCTTGGCTCAGATCCCCAGTGCCTCTCGGCCTCCCCACTGTGGACAGGCCTCTGTGGCTCTCGTGCCAGGGCCTCAGCATGCTGCCATCCCAGGCCATTCGTCCTGCTGTGACAGAAGGCAACAGCAGGACCCCCTTGAATCAGGCAGGATGTGTGATCCTGGATGAGGATCCTCTGGGCCTCAGTTTCTCTCTTATTATGGGAACAATCAGCTTTGTCTCTGCCCCTTCCTCTTCCCCGGGAAATCAACACAACACAAAGTAGATTTTATCGAGGAATTCTGGGCTCTGGAGAAAAGAACTCACGGGACAATTAACTGAAAGAAACCACAATAATAGGAATAATGAGGATGTGAGATTAGTTTGAGAGACTTGAAGAGGAGACTTTCCCCAGACTTGTGGGAATTTTACCTGTGATAATTTGCATCCATTACTGACCAGAGAGCCTCTGCATTTTTTAAGTTATGATTCAATTCTAGAAATCCTGGTTCTCTAGCAACCACCTCTGCCTCTGGAGAAGAAACACTTTCTGTCTCCAGCAAATGCAGATGTGGCCTCATCAGCCTGGGCCACGTCCACTTATATACAACCCACCTACCTCTCTCTGCCAAAACACATGCACAGGCTCGTTTGGGTCTGGACAAAGCAAGGCATTTGGAGTAAGAGAGACCTGGGTTTAAATCTTGACTTTTTCCTACTGTGTGACTTTTGCAAGTTAACCACCCTGAGTTTTGCAGTTTTAGAATGGGAGAAAGACAATTCTTGCCTTTTCTGTTACTTTGTGTGCTATGGGGAGCAAGCTAGACCATTAGTAACTTAAACCCTGTGAAGTGCTGGATATTGGGTGCATACACTAGCGTACACTCATGTATTCTGTGCACATTTTCATAATGAGCATGTTCACATCAAGACGACACATACAAGCCTGCCCCAGGACAGTTGCACTACCACCTCCTCACCAGGCAATGCTCTTGAGCTCAGAGCACCCCCATGCTCCCTAACCCTCATCACAGTTTAGCAAGGCATCAACATCTTTTAATTTGTTTTTTACTCACACCAGGGCCCAGGGGACATGCAAGGAGCACAATAAATGCTTGGCCAATCTGGCGCAATGCCCCATTTCCCTTCCACATAAAGGCTTTCTAACCACCAGGCATCTGGCCTGCAAGGCTGGGCCAAGACCTGCTCAGCATCTGCTGCTTTGCTTAAAAGACCTGCTAACAGGAAAGTGTCTGGTTCCTTTCCACCGTGAACAGGAAGCGCCTGACACTGTTGGGAGAACAG